CTTTTTTACTCGTTTTTCTGTTTCACTCTTTCGTTAGTTTTTCTCTTAATAATAGAATGAACACAGGTCCTAAATTTTTAAGTTTTTTTTCTATTCCTGTTAACAAAAATATGTTCACTCAATTTTCCTCAATCAAAAAAATATATTTGTTTAACTTTTTTTAACGAAGATTTCCATTTATGCAGATTTGCCTGTAGCTCTTGCACGTTGTACTTTGTCCTATGCTATTGATCGTTCGATAAAAAAAATATTTATCTAGATGAGGAAAGCGACAGGGACATTCAAAGTCTTGCATTGTGTCATTAAATTGTTTATATTGGTACATTGTATTAAATTGCTTTAATTGTTTATCATATGGATTTAATGATTATTTCCAATTTAGAAAAAATAAAATAAAATCCAGCAACATGCAAAACTGCAAGTTCAATTACCTTAATTTGTCGCATTCAATTAAACGGTATGAACTGGGTACCGCTATAAATTACACCATTTTTTTATGTCGCAATTTATGCAATAGAGGGTAATTGGTTTTGGAATGGTATTTTGGACTTGTATAGTGGGCATTTCAGCGATTTCTTGGTTAACAATGGTACGATACTAAAATCAAGTCCATTCACTAAAAATCAATTTCTTAAAATCAAATCCTATTTTCGGAAAACATTTTAAATTAATATTATGTTAATAATCAAAACATAGTCTTCCTGGCCGATCTTATGTAGGCCTTACTTGTTACTTAAAACAAGCCGAGCCGTGGCCTATATAAGGTCGACCAAGAAGCCTACTTTTGTCCAAAATTTGACAATAAACGTAGTTGTTTCAGACTCTCACAATTTTGTCTTCTGACTATTTGTTGGATGGGCTTACTGGTCGACCTTATATAGAGAATGGCCCCAGCTTTTAATAAAAAAAAAATTGGTACACATTGAAAATTTTCAAGAATTCCCTTTATGCAGAATTGACTGTATATGAGTGGTCAGTTCTTATACATTGCACTTTATCGTATGCTGTTGATCGTTCGATTTTGGCAGACAGGAACATGGTCCACACAAGGAAGGCAGGAACATTTAGTGTTTGCATTTGGCCCTTAAATTGTCTAAATTGATGTAGTTTTATCAAATTGCTTTATTCACATATCCTATAGGTTTAACAATCCAATTTGCAAATTAAAAAATAAATAAATACACCAACATGCAATTTCAATTACCCTAATTTGTCGCATTCAGCCAGCATTTAATCGCATTGAACCAGGTACTTTTGTTAATTACAGTAATTTCATTATTATGTAGCCGGCTACGCAATAAATAATGATTAATTAAAAAAGTGAAAACCCTCTTTGATCTAATAAGGGCTATTAATAATTATAGGGGAACGCTGTAATCGATTTCTATTCATAACCATCATGTCATGGGGTTATTTTTTAATTAATTTTAAATTCATATGCAAAAATATAATAACTATTAATAATAGATCAAAATTTTTTGAATATATAATCAAACATTTTCAAAGGAAAAGATAGTAACTTTATTCTTGTAAGGTATTTTAATTTCATTTATAACTAAATAAACCAAATTGGCACCCTGGCTCGATTATTCGATAAAAAAGCAGATCTTTGCCCAACTTTCCAAAAAATTTTGCGCTGCGGTAGGTCGTTTATCATTAATTTCTTGCACTTGGCTTCACACCCAAATCTTTCCGCAAAATTTTGTAACAAAGCCCCAATTGCTGCCAACGACGAGGGATCGATAATTGTTGGTGGTTTAATGTCCAACATTGTAAATTTGGACCCAATATCTGCTTCTGGGAACAAAACTGACCATAAAATGAAAGAAGAGCGGGATGAACTTTCTTAACAGAGCAAGCTTTTTGATAATGTTTTAATAAACTTTCAGTAAATTTGCCCGTGCTGGTGGTGAACCTCCTCTGGACGGTCTGGTCATTTATACATAAGACTTCAAGATGGTATATTCCGCTATAATCCAATCTTTAAACACTCATATCAGCATAATGACATTTGTAGCGTTTTGTCGGGCGGAGATTATTGCAAACGAGAAGGCAGCCGAAATGTTTAGGGATCACTGCAGTGTCATTAGAGGAACAGTTGCTGTATGTGTAGATAGTCAAGCGCCCCTCAAAGCTATGAAGTGGCATTAAATCGAGGGCCACTCTTAACAACAAAAAAACCCTCCCTCAAACACGTGGACTCATTAAGCTTCGCTGGGTTCCAGGACATATTTACACTGCACGGAATGGCTGGTTACCGATTGATGAGTCTGTTAAGGTCATCTGACCGATAATCTCGAGCAGAAGAATAAGCTCTATTCTATCACTTAGTAGGACTTATCAAAGAATAGTGATAGGCCTATTGACTGACCATTGCAGTATCACATATCTGACCTCAACATGGCACAATAGATAAAGAAGTTTTAGAGACGATTGAACATCTACTTGGGCAGTTGGGGGATAGAAACTCTTACGATCTTCTCAGACATGGATCCCATCATGATACAATGAAATCAAGATAGGGCACAGAATCCAATCGATTTTTATGCCCCCACCTTGCGTTTGTAACATCCCTAAATATTCATCGTAGACTCCATAAAATATATTCATGGTCAGCATAAAATTCCAAGTCGTTTTTAATGATGTCCGTGATCCGACATTATTTGACGTAGAGCCTCAAAATTTAGCAGAACAATTTGTATTGTGTCTGAGATAAGTTGGTATTGAAATTGAGATATATCGGTCCACGTTTTGATAAAGCCGCCATATAACAGTACCTCCCTATATTCGGTATTTTGATGATTTTTTGTCAAATTTTTCTACGAATTTGTCTAAAAATTGGTATTTGTAGGCCATAATGGGTTCTAGCTCCGGTGGCGAGACTTTTTGTATATATAGGTCCACGTTTTACTATAGCACACATATAACGATACCCACCGATATTCGGTATTTTGATAATCCAAGTCACATTTACCCACGAAATTGTTTCAAATGTAGTATTTAAGAAGACTTGGTAGGTGAAAATCCTTGAAGTATGAAATTGCCAAAATAGGTTCCCGCTTTGGTATGGCCTCCATATAACGGTCTCACCCACTTTATGGCTTTCTAAAAAAATTAACAACATTATCCACGTTTGAATTCAAATACTTTTATTAAAAATTGTTTTACAATGGAGGGAGGGTATTAAAAGTTCATTTTTTATAGCGAAATAAATCTTAACAGAAATATAGGATAATATTTTTGAAAATAAAGGTAGACCTTTCATTCAATTTTCGCGTTTTTTTTTTGTTTATTTATTCAAAATCAATGCAACAAGTTGTTTTGTTTATATAATATTTATCTACTTTTTGAATGTATTTTAATAGTAATTCCATGGTACAATGAAGAGAAGGTAGGTCAACTTTGAAAAAATTGCAAGTATAGAGGTCTACCTGTTTGGCTTGTAATGTCAGAATTAGTATCAAAACAATAAAAAATCAAACAACTTGTTGCATATATTTTGAATAAATAATTGAAAACCGCGATAACTGAATGAAAGGTCAACACTTCTTTTCAAAATCATGTACTATATATCTCTAAAGGATAATTCCGCTACAAAAACTCTAGATTTTGTCGATGCATGCGTTGAAATGAACATTTTGAAAACACCCGAATTTGAATTTTTTCTGAACAATTTTTTTGTTATTCAAAAGAAAACACATACATAAACAAATAAAGATGACATATTAGGCCAAGAAAATAAAAAAATTAAAATCATATGGTATCATAGACCTACCTCTTTACTTGCAAAATTTTCCAACTTACCCCACCTTCTCTGCATTGTACCATGGATACCATCATCATATGGTATTTGGCCGAAGACATTCCCCAGACAAACCACAATCCTAACTCTATAAATCTTTCCTCTTCGCTTCTATATGTATTTTCTATCCCCAAAATTTTAATTTCAGTTATTGCGTTATTTATTGTTTAAAAAAAAACATGTAAAGTACAAAGTGCCACAATTTCTATTTTAATGACAATGAGGAAATAGCCTATCAAGAGAACAAAAGAAGCTGTTGAGAGAACAAAGAGTAAAACAACAATATGTATTTACATTAGCTAATGGAAAAAAGGTCACTGGCTAGTTATTCCCATGCGAACTTTTTAAAAGCATATCAGACGATACGCACCTTTTGAAAAAAAATTAAATAATATTAATTATCCAATAAAGATAGCATGGTTTTGTCTGCTACTAATTCAAAGGTATGGCTTCTTGGCTTATCAAATGACTTTCAAAATTTCCCTCCAACTTGCCAATCGGACGACAAACCTAAAAACCAAGCAATCAATAGATATAGAATATAAAAACAACTATAGACGTCCAAAAGTTATCAGCTTGCATTTCCCCAATAAAGATAAGACGCACATGGAAATAGAAAAAGAACTCAATACGACTTTCTCACAAATAGCATTGTTCGTATGCAGAATTCCAGAATAAGTAGTAACCCATTCGATGACATTGTTGATGAAAAATTGTATTGTTCCAATTCCCCACCGCACACACAATAAAGGCGCAAAGTGCAAAGTCGTAAATGATTGAAAATAAACAAATAAGATATCAGCATTTGCCATTGTGACGCAACCAAAATTTTCTTTCTTTTGAGTTAGGCGCACAACGAAAAGTTGGAAGCGAAAGATTACACGCGCCCCAGACCTTTGGCGAAATGTGGTGATCCATAGGTGCCTGCTGCTACTGCTGAGCTGAGGCAACAATTCAAAAAAAAAGTTCAACGTCGGCGGTAGCAGCAGCAGCTAATGCATGCACACACAGAGCGTCAGAGTATAAACAATAGCGCCACTACTCTCCAGCCAACCCGCCAGCTAGCCAACAAAACGAAATCGAAATCATTCATATTGGGCCTAAATTCTTGTACTGCTCTCTCAGTTCATTGTGTATTACGTTCAATACAAAAAAAACATTTTTGAGGTTTCTGGTATTGTTGCTGCCGATGTTGATGATCAGTGAGTGTTTAACGAAACTCATTGGCAGACGTTGTGTCAGTTACACAAGTGGTTTTCACTTAAACGGTTGGTTGTGATCGGCAAATCAATAATAATACAAAAAAAAAAAACATTTGAAGAATTTCAAAAAAATAAAAAGTGAAAACAAAAGTCGTGTTACTCTGCAACGAAGGATAAACGTAAACAAAAGTAATTATTTTTCAATATCCTTAATAATTAAAAAAAAAATAATAATAATAAAACAAAAAGCTCAACAAAACAATTTTTTAAACAATTCCATGAAATGTTTAGTTTAAATTGGCATTGATTCCAAGAAAAAAGAAATTGTTTATTTTTGGTAAACAAAAAAGAAATTTGTATTTTCTCCTGGTAAAAATGATTCGCTGACTAATTCATTGATATTTTGTAAATATTGAGGCGATATTGACGTATTTGCCGTTACCTCTCAATATCCAAATGGATATCGATATTTTCGTCCATTGCGCCATAAACGGATTGCTGCAATAAGAAGTGCTTTGGTAATGACCCAAATTCCAATGGGATTTACCTGTTTAATTAACACCTTTTTAAGACAAATTGTGCTCATCACAACCGTTTACACGTTGTCTTTGCAATAAAGTTAGCTATGTGTTGGAATGCCTAGACAGGCAATGTGATAACATGGGGACGATACGAAAGTGTGGTTGATGTTACATTGAATGCTTGATATCTCGTTTGTGTTGTGTGTCCACGTTGGTACAAAAATTGTTTGGCTTTGAAAATATTGTACGGCACATCACGTATGGTGCTTACTATCGTGGCATCGAACCAAAAATTGTTTTGTATCCTCCAGGCACTTTGAAGGTTTTAGCAAGACTTTTCAATAGATTTTGATTGGAAATCGATATCATGAATTATTGGTGGATCGACACGCCTTTGAAAAATTTAAAAATAGGTATGATCATGTCAAAACGCTAATTTGTCCAAATTGCAATGGTTACAAATTTTGAGCTGTTTCGTGGTGCTGTTCGAATAATGCCTTGAGATGAGGTGACACATAAGCGGCTTGGCCTCATTAGCATGGCATAGTAATATCAAATTATAAGGGAAAAGGCGGCAGAATTCCATTGCGGCGCAGGCATCCCTTTATAATATGTCACTAAATATACCATATACTCAACTTTACGTTTTTGAAATTTATGTCTTGCTGAAATGTAAACATTTTTAATTTTAACATGAACCTACCATTATGGACTTCCTTCAAAAGGCGTTTTCTACCCACAAAATGTTTAAGGCCAATGATGCTGTTCAATCATCGGTATAAGTGGTATGGGTTGGCACTTTCACTACCTTTTTTTGCAAAAGGCAAGATATCTAAATCATTTTTGGATCCTGTCCATTGGCACGGCATCTTTCACTCAAATCTTTGCATCTCAGTTTCAACGTCGTTGAAGGATAAAACATGGATATACTTTAAACGACTTTTACCAAAATTAGACTGTAGTTTTGTGATACGAATATTATTTGGTTAAATATTACCAACCAAGTACCAAAAATCACGAATTTATTAGTATCCGTTCATGGCAAAATAATTGCTCCTATAAAAGAAGTGAAAATGTTTGGTCTGAAATAAATTTCTTGTCAGTTGTACGCCCATATCTATGGAATGACTAAACAAGTAAAAAAGCTGGGCGGAACTTTTAAAACGCTCCACCATTTGGAAGGAACTTGAAATTTTTCAAAAAAAAAAAATCGAAAACTACAACATAAATGAAAACCGTTATATGGGGACAATACAAAGACATAGATAGACCTGCATACGAATTTTTTGCCATAAGCTGTAGTACCCATTACGAACTTAAAATACGAAATTTGTAACAATTCTGGTGAATAATGTCGCAAAAATCATGAAAATACCGAATATCGGGAGGTACCGTTATATGGGGGTCATACGAAAACGTGAAGCTGCATACGAAATGTTTTACCATAGGTTGTTGTAGCCATTAAGATCTTCCAATACGAAATTTGAAACCATTCCGGTGAATAATGTTGCTGAAATCATCAAAATACCGAATATCGGGCAATTTTTTTTATTCATAGGCTGTAGAACCCATCACGAACTTCAACAACGAAGATACCGGGAGTTACCGGAGGTCTTAATTTTATGATTGTAGGGGATAGGAGAGATAAGTGAGAAAGTGAAAAAAGGGTTTATGGAGAAGTATAGTTAACAGGGTGGTCTTTCTAGCCAGTAGCAAAACTGTAGATGAGGAAAACGTTGGATTATATATCTTCCCTCTACCAAAAAACCTTTTTCTTGATGGATAATAAATCTCAATATTTTGTAAGTCAGAATAAATTAAAGCAACTTTTTTCCCAATGAGATCTCTATGTAGAAAATTACCGAAAAATATATGCTGTTGGTAACAGCTTGCCTGCTCTGTCCGCCTAAAACCATTAGGAAGGTATTGAATGTTTAAAGTGATAAAACTACCTCCAAAACAGTACGTCTCATTTACGTTAACTGAACGTACCCTACAGACAAACTATAATAATCCGGAAAAATTGTTTTTTGCATTCTCAATGGAAAAAAATATAAAATTAAATAATTGAAGAAGAAATTAAATATCAAATGAACAATGTTTACAAATTTATCTTCATAGAACAAGAATCCATCTCCCCTTCAAAAATACAAACATCACCAGATTTTTCCACATTTTTTTTTTCAGAAAAAATAATGAATGGCTGACAAATGATTAGAAACGTATTGCTCACCAATATTTCAAGATTGTGTTGATATTTTCTTTCACCGGTCATTAACACTCTCCCGCAAAAAAAAAATAAAAAGAGTGATGATTTTAAAGTGTCAGCAGACAAATTCATTTTTTTCAGTTAGAAAGGAAACAGGAAATAAGTTATGGAAAAACAATAAAGCAATAGTAAATGACACAATAGTCTATGATATCCATTTTGATTTAAAAAAAACGAACATTGATTAATTAATGTTTATTTCATCAAAATTTTTCATAAAACATGTTTCTATTACTGGGCATTCGAAAAAACTGACTATTTGTGAGGAGGTGTAAAGAGAAGATTAATTTTTGAAAATATTTTTGTCTAATTCCTATTTTGGTTTCATTCTTCCAAAAAATAGTTGTCTAACAATAAACCAATATTCAGAAAACATTTCTAAGCAAAATCGAAAACAGATGTCTTCGAACGAATCGATTCAGACTTTAAATTATAACTATAATCATAGTTGGTATGATTTAATTCTCACAAATTCCCCATAAAAACTTTTATTTGTTATGTGAAGCCCTACCAAATATGCAATGTGGTGAAGGGTATCATAAAATCGGCTTCGTCCGACTTTAAGACTGTCTTTAATGGTTTTATTTAAAAAATCTGTTTTGACAATAGATGGTTTTAGTGTTTTTGTTTTATTTTGCAAATATATCCTGGCAAATAACTCCAATACTTGACATTCATAATCTTTTTAAACCTCATGTTTCGAACTGACCTTCTAAATATACACCAAGAAATTAAAACATAAAATTGTCCCACATCTTTTATAGTTTCATTTACACATTCCCACCTAATGTCAACTTTTCGAGCCAACCTTGTTAAAAGAAATTTTTGAAATTTCATTTACAATAAAACTGGCTTAAGTGGTCTACAGCAAATGAGTTGGGCCTGTATGCTTTTCCGTATCTGTGCTTTTGTGACACAACAGACAAACGATGCGCCACTAACTTGCGCTTCTAGTTGATATTCCAGTCAGAAAGTCTGACAAACTTATTTCGTTTACAAACAAAAGACAACTGCAACAGCAAAACAAAAATAACAACAACAACAAACAGAACACACAACAAACATTTTGTAAAGAGAAAATATGCTTGGTTTATTTCTCTGGATACCGAAATAAAAAAAAATAAAAACGAAAAAGTTATGTTGTTATGGATTTTAAATTGCAGCTCATTGTGATTTTGAGATTGTTTTTACAGTTTTAGGAGAAAGTTATTGAAGTGTGTGCCCCAGTGTGTGTGTGGGTAAGGCATGGGCTTTTTAGTTAAAATGTAATATGATTTCTTTGAAAAAAAAAAAAAACAAAGTAATGTTTAATTCAAAGGTTTTGCATGGGTTTTATTACACATTAGCCAAGATTTTAATCATAAATATTTCCATTAGAGGTGCATAAGACATTCTTTGTAAAAAAAAACCAAAAATGGTTCCCATTTTTTCAATTTGCTTGTAGCTACATGGGCATGAATTCAGTGATGTTTTTTTACACCTATTGATTTAATAGAAACTAATAAAACCGGAAATATTATATTAGTTATGTGACCAACCAATACATAATTTATTACAACATGTAGATGATGTCCATTTCGAAATCGAAATTTTGTCAACATATCAAAACCTCTCATGCGACTTGATTTTATTTACCCTCTTCAAAGCTGGTGTTTATATTTAGTGCTTTTGTTTACTTGGTCACAAAAGATGAGGCTTGTCTGTCAATAACGCAATCATAGAGCCAATATTTACTAACTTGCTGCTTGTAAACCAGGCCAGAAAGGTTTGAAATTTCGATAACAAAAAAACTAAGACCAAATTACAACAACAATTGACCAGTTATAAACATTTAATTCATGGTCATTTTATTAACAGACAAATACGGTGAAAGTGTTATTTTATTATTTTGAATGTTGTATTGGTACTAAAATATGTCTTGGCATTCAATCAACATTTTAAACATTCGCAATGTATGTGTTTCTTATTGGCTTAGAAGTTAAATTGCCACTTTCTGCATGACGATACGAAATGCGATATAAAAAAAAACAATACCAAATAAATTTTTTGAAACATCCAAAAATTTCATATGAAACATTTAAATTTCATATTAACATTTACATATGTTCCCAATTTGTCGGTTTCTTTAAGTCATATTTTCATTGACAACACTGTTTTCATTGCATAAATATTTCTACGTTATACAACACTGTGATGTTCATTCACTATGCATACATATAATAAAGAAGAAGAGCTACATTGCCGCTACATTGTACTGGAAATATTTTACTTTACATTTTTGATTAAAAGTTTCAAAAAACATATTGAATTTTAAAGGTTTGTTGCATTAAATTACAAACTTACCAAATTGCAACATTCAATCCAAAAAATATGTAATTTTTTCTGCTCAAAGGTGTAATGTATATAAATCATATGTTATATTTACTTTTTCAATGTTAGTCTTGTTTATTGATACCGGAAAAGGAAACTATTTTTATTGCATTTTTATTGTATTTAAAAGAAGTACACACGATTTATCTTGATAACTTAGGCGTTTTACAACACTGTCTATGATTTGTCATCAACTCAGTTTTATCAATGTGACATGAAAATAAGAAGAAGACCGGCACACTCGTTGAAATGCAATAAGCTATGCATTTTAAATGTTTCTTTTTGTTCATTTAGAATCTGTAACATTCTATGTGCACTTCACTTCCCTTTTTTAAGCAACATTTTTTCTTCAAATATTTTAATTTTAAAATTCACTACCGAACTCAAGCGACACTTCATTAAAACCGACGAAACGAATGTACCAACCGACTTCAAACGAACACCGACAATGATGGGCAAGATTTTTTTGCAAATATATTAGTTAAAAAATCACTACCGAACTCAAGCGACACTTCCTTGAAACCGACGAAACGAATGTACGAACCGACGAAGAAAAGAACGAGTTTTTTTTGCAACTGATTTTTTACTTTGCTCACATTTACGCCAAGCGTTAAGAATATGTCTCAAAATGTTTTATAATTTGCTAAATACACAATTTCTTATTTCACCAATCTAGTTTTTTTACTCTTTGTGAGCACTAAATATTCTTATTCTTGCAATTCATTGCGACATCCACAAAAGAAAACCGAGCTTACCGAGCGATGAACGATCACTGACGAAAGTTGCAAAATAGTGTTGGTTAGCGCAATTTTAATGTACGCTGTTATTGTTTTGTCCTGTTTGCAGCAATGTCATCAAATCGAGTGTATACCCAAATGGAATTAGGGGAAGAAGAAGAATTGCATAAGCTCTGCAATTAATCGCAATGGAATATCAAATATTGAGAAATGTAGAGTTTTTTTGTAATTATAATACTTTCTTAAAGATTATTTGCACAGTATTTATTTTTCTATGAACCCGAGCGAAACAAGACCGATCGAACACCGACAAAGAAATGCACGAGATGTTTTGCGACGGATTTTTCACGTTGGCTCGGATTTACATGAAGTGCTTTGAAAATAACTATAGCTGTTTTATAATTTGCTATATACACAATTTTCGAATTTTACACTTCATTTTTACAGTTTTAATATCTGTGAGCACTAAATATTTTTATTCTTGCAAATTCATTGCGACATCCAGAAAAGAAAACCGAGCTTACCGAACGATGGACGAGCACTGACGAAAGGTGCAAAGTTGGTGTTGGTTATCGCAATTTTAGTGTACGTTGTTATTGTTGTGTCCTGTTTGATGCAATGTCATCAGTTGAGTGTATGGAATTTGGGAAAAAGAAGAATTGCATAAGCACTACAAATAATCTCAATAGAATGTCAAATTTTTAGAAATGTAGATATACCATGAAAACGATACACAGGGACAATTATTTGTCATAATTTACACAAGTTTGTATATGTGATTATAACACTTTCTTAAAATTATTTGCACGGGAGTTATTTTTCTGTGAACCCGAGGGAAACAAGGCCGAACGAACCGAGCTTTAAACGACCACCGACAAACAAATGCACCAGTTGGTTTGCGACTAGCTCACATTCCCACAAAGTGCTTGGGAAATAATCTAGTTGTTTTATTATTATGTTCACAATTTTTTAATTTTGCACTCAATTTTTAAGTTTTTGTTACAGTTTGGAAGCACTAAATACTCTTATTCTTGCAAACTCATTGCGACATCCACAAAAGAAAACCGAGCTTACCGAATGATGAACGATCACTGACGAAAGTTGCAAAATAGTGTTGGTTAGCGCAATTTTAGTGTACGTTGTTATTGTTTTGGCTCCTTTGCGACAATGTCATCAATTCCTGTGTATACCAAAAAGAAGTTAGGAGAAGAAGAAGAGTTGCATAAACACTACAATGAATCTCAATAGAATGGCAAATTTTCACTCACAAATAGAAAAATTTAGATAAACCAGGAAAACAATACCGTTTGATTTTTTTATTTAGATTTTTTTTAATTATAACACTTTCTTAAATATTATTTAGACTGTGTTTTTTTTTTTTTTTTCAATTAATCCCGAAGAAAATGAACCCGATTTTTCACTGTGGCTCACATTTACACAAAGCGCGTAGTTAATACCTATAGTTTTTCTATGTATTGCCAATTACACAATTTTTGGTTTTACCATTTGATTTTTTGGTTTTTTCTTTTGGTGAACACTAAATATTCTTAGTTTTGCAAATTCATTGCGACATCCACAAAATATAACCGACCGTGCCAAACTATGAACGATTACTGACGAAAGTTAAAAAACAGTGTTGATTAGCACAATTTCAATGCATGTTGCATTGGTCTTGTCCTGTTTTGTAACAATGTCATCAAATCGAGTTTATACCCAAATGGAATTAGTGGAAGAAGAAGAATTGCATAAGCACTACAATTAAACTCAATAGAATGTCAAATGTGGAGAAATCTAGATATACCACGAATACAGTACATAGGGGCAATTTTTTTGTTATTATAATACTTTTTTAAAAATTATTTGCACAGTGTTTATTTTTCTATGGATCCGAGGGAAACAAATGCGCGAGTTGTTTTGCAACTGATTTTTCAAAAAGCAAGAGGTCGAAAAACAATGTTGATTAGCGCATTTTTTATAAGTGAGGGTGGTTGTAGCGGACGGAAACGATAAACTAAGAGTTGCCACATGAAACATCTTTACATATTTAAAACTTTTTGCAACTTTTATTCCACTACTAATAATGTATTTCTGTTTATTTTTTTTCTTGTTTAATTTCAGCTTAATTTTATTTCCTTCTACTTTCTTGAAGCTGTAAATAGTTACAAAACACCAATAAAAATGTGGCCTGAAAATGTTGGTATTTTAGCCGTTGAGGTTTTATTCCCCTCACAATATGTTGACCAAACCGAACTGGAACAATTCGATGGAGCCTCGGCTGGCAAATATACCATTGGCTTGGGTCAAGCTAAAATGGGTTTCTGTTCCGATCGTGAAGATGTCAATTCTCTGTGCCTGACTGTTGTAACCCGCCTTATGGAAAGACATCAAATCAAAGCAACCGATATTGGTCGCTTGGAAGTTGGTACGGAGACTATTGTGGACAAATCGAAATCGGTGAAATCTGTGTTGATGCAACTCTTTGCCGATAGTGGAAATACCGATATGGAAGGTATTGATACCACAAATGCCTGTTATGGCGGTACTGCTGCTTTGTTCAACTCTATTAACTGGGTGGAATCGTCGAGTTGGGATGGTCGTTTGGCGTTGGCAGTTTGTGCTGACATTGCTGTTTATGCCAAGGGTGCAGCCCGTCCAACGGGTGGCGCGGGGGCCATTGCCATGCTTGTAGGACCAAATGCTCCTTTGGTTTTCGAAAGAGGTCTGAGAGCAACACACATGGAACATGCCTACGATTTCTACAAACCGGATTTAAGTTCAGAATATCCCACAGTTGATGGTAAATTGTCTATACAATGCTATCTGTCGGCCTTGGACACCTGCTATCAGCTGTATCGCAAGAAATTCGAAAAACTCAACCCCCAAACTGGAAAGGAAGGCTTGGACAACTTTGATGCCATTCTTTTCCACACACCATTCTGTAAATTAGTACAAAAATCTGTGGCCCGCTTGGTTTTCAATGACTTCTTGCTTACTGCTGATGAGACAAAACGCGCCCAAAAATATCCCGCATTAGAAAAATTCAACAACCATACATTGGCCACCACCTACTTCGATCGTGATGTGGAAAAGGCATTCATGACACAATTTGCCAATGTCTTCGAAGAGAAGACGAAAAAGTCCCTGCTTTTGGCCAATCAAGTTGGCAATATGTACACTCCATCGGTATATTCAGGTTTAGTATCGCTGCTGGTCAGTGAAAAGCCCGAAAACTTGGTAGGCAAACGTATTGCTGTGTTTTCGTATGGATCCGGCTTGGCCGCGTCAATGTACTCTATTAAAGTGACCTCAAATTCCGATGTCTTCCAGAAATTCGTTGAAAAATTAGACTATGTTATGCCTTTGCTGAATTCGCGCGAGAAAGTGGCGCCCGAGCTGTTTTCCGAACTAATGGAAATACGTGAAAAGAACAATCATGCCGCACCCTATACGCCCACAGGCAGCATAAGTGCTTTATTCCCGGGCACCTACTACCTCAAGAGTGTCGATGAAATGCATCGGCGCACCTATGAACGTACACCAACAATTTCAAATGGTGTCCACTGAGTGGGGTAAAGATCGTTTTGAAGCAGAACATAAAGCTCCAGCTACTATAGCTTTACTTAACACTACAATTATATTTACTCTAGTTAATAATTATAAAAGGAAGGGAAACACACACACACATACAAACTTACAAAAATGTAATTTTTCCGCTTATAAAACTTTAAAAGTTTTGTACAAAGATGATTATTATATAAAAAAAAGGGAAATCTTACTTTAAATTAGTTTAAATTTTTGGTGATTTCTATACAGTTTTACATCTATGTAGCTATGTATTTATTTTCATTTTTCATTTCTTTATAAAAAAAAAAAAACTAAATAATACTACCATAAAAATACAATACAAGCCAGCAAAAACAACTAGTACTTGACAATAATGATGGTGCTGATGATGATTACAAATCGATTATGGTTTATTAACAACAAACCATTTGTGGACCCCATTTAATTTTGCATAACTATGAAAATCTTTAACACTGTCAACTTAAAAATTATTTATTTTTCTAAACTTAAACTATTCTTCTTGCTACCTTATTTCCTAGTTTATTTGTTCTTTTCTTTGCCTCTACAAAGCTAAGTGTAATGTGGAAATATACATCGAAATTAGGTTACGTTTGGTATTACGTATTAATAATTATTATTATTTTTGTTTAATTTATACAAGAATAAAATTTAATTTTACCAAGAAGAATCTGTAAACGTAGTTTTATTGCATTGTGAAACTTTTAAATTGGGAGTTTTGGATTAAAATGTAATAATTTTGGTGTTATTATTTTGTCATTGGTTGGATTTTACAGCATAAATTCCCATATATCATTGCAATTAAGTGGCAACACTTGTATGAAAGACGTTGATAACGGTTGCACGTCGTTATCGACATCAACCAGTGTTGAGCAGTTTTCAAATGAAATTATTGTCAAAACATGTTACCAGATTGTGTAACAGTTGACCAAATTGGTAAACCCAATGGATTTAAATTCTCTATTCCGTTGCATATACGAAAAAGACTTTGTTTAACTCAGGGGAGTGGGGAGAATGGCTTCGACAGCGGCAGTAACAACAAAACTCCCCAGAGTTATTTTATGTGATGAGAGATGTGATGATGTGTAGGTGAAAGATGTGGTGCGGGTGATTCGCGCGTGTGGTGTAAAAAGAAAGAAAATAGCAAGAAATAAAACACAGAAATATAATTAGTGTAATTGAATATATGATTTCATAGTTTTATTGGTGTTCTCTCTTTTCTACGACAAATTACCTTCAGTAATTGGGGTGGCGACAGAGGCCTGTGTGTTTGTGCTTTCGTTTCTCAAAGACAAGTGAACGCAGAGGTTCTAAGTGATCGCAGAGCATCCCTTATCTGTTTCCAATACATATGCAAATACAGACAAGTGAACGCAGAGGTTCTGAGTGACCGCTGAGGGTCCCATGTCTGTATATACATTACAACTACAACTACTTTCAATGAGAGCAAGGTGAGCCTACCGCCAACAACCTATACCCAGCGGCGATCCGCTCACTACGGTATCCGCCAAGGGAATTGTAGAGGAGATGCCAGTGTGCCAATCAGCATCCGTGATTGACGAGTATTGGAAAATTATGGTGGAACGTATCGAACTTATACAGGCTTCAATGTAACAATACTATATCTTTAAGTAGATATTTATCTGCAGCTATTTATGCATCTGTATTTATTTTCCTGTAAAAATAAAGGTGTAGTTACATAGAAGCTGGCTTCTTCGTAAAAGAACAAAAGAGTTTTAAGTTGGATTTTGGTTACATTTCGCCCATAATTTTTACTTGTTCACCATACGCCCCTTTATTCTTCTACGAAGAAGCCAGCCAATGAAAATAGCCTTCTATGTATCTTCACGTTAACATCTGATCCAATCATTTGTGAATCCTAAATATTCTTAGTTTTGCAAATTTATTGCGACATCCCCAAAAGAAATCCCACAATGCCAAATTATGAACCATCACTGACGAAAGTAAAAGAAAAACGTAATTTGCATTCATGCTGTTATTGTTTTGTCCTGTTTGCGACAATGTCATCAAATCGAGTGTATATCCAAATGGAATTAGGGGAAGAAGAAGAATTGTATAAGCACTACAATTAATCTCAATATAATGTCAAATGTTGAGAATTGTAAATATACCATGAAAACAATACACAAGGGCAACATTTTGTTATATATCAGATAAGTTTTTTTATAATTATAATATTATTTGCACAGTATTTATTTTTCTATGGACCAGTAGGAAAGAAGAACGAAAAAACCGAGCTTTAAACGAACACCGACATAACAAAGACACGAGTTGTTGTTGTTGCGACTGTCTCACATTCCCACAAAGTGCTTGGGAAATAACTCTAGTTGTTTTATAATTAGCTATATACAATTTTTTTTAATTTTACACTAAATTTTTACGGTTTTTATTGTTTTTGAAACCAATTTCTTTTAATTTGGGCAACTTTATTGCGACATCTCCAAAAGAAATCCGAGCTTACCGAATGATGAACGATCACTGACGAAAGTTGCAAAGTAGACTTGGTTAGCGTTTGTTTTGTCTCTTCTGCAACAATGTCATCAATCCGTGTGTATACCAAAAAGAAGTTAGGGGAAGAAGAAGAGTTGCATAAACACTACAATGAATTTCACATGGTAGAAGAATATAGGTAGACGCGTTAGGACAATGAACTACCAAACCAATTTTGTATTTGAAAATGTTGAATGAAAATTATTTAAATTTGTACAAATTCTTGAAAAATACATATCATAACAACCTCCGATTGGCGTCGTATAATAAAAATTATAAAAATCTATTTATTTTTGAAAAAATGACGTTTTTTGATTTTATAATAAAACAAAATTCAATTTCAAATGAAAACCCAAATTCTGGCATTTATTAATACAACAATTTGATACTCTTACATATAATATATTCTACATTTTTGGATCGTTTAATCTTTGGATGTAAGTAATAGCGTTAGACACAAATTATTTTCTTCCATTTTGCAAAGCCGTAAACTTATAGAACATAACACCTGAAAGAAGAAAATAGACAATTGAGGCATGATTATGAATTGGAAATAATTAAGATTTTGTTAAAAATCCTAAAATATAAGGAAAAAATTCGAACAATTTCCTTGGCAATTAATTTGACGATGTTTTGCAAATATGACATATGGCCAGGTGCCTTTATAACGCTAAGTTTACATATGTGAACTTTATTAATTTGTTGGACTTTTTCACACATGAAACGCTAATTAGATATAACAGTAACAGAAAGTTGATAAGGGTTTATTAAATCTTTGTCATAATAAAAGCGAGACGCGTCTTTTCGTGTCATGCGACATCGATAAAACAAGAACCACAAACAGAGGTAACACATAGATAGCTCAATTTGGTTTAACATTAAAGGCATACTTCGCATTTTCACGCCGAAGTCACGATTTAGGTGTTAATCTGTTTTAGCCTTAAGTCCGCCTACTTGGAGATTATAAAGAGGAAGGAAAATGGACGAATTACATTTTTTTCATTTCGAAAAAAATAAGACCCACAAAGCGGAATTCAAAGCAGAATGGACGCGTTAAACATTTTATGTCGATTTAACTAAAAGCACGAGGCCAAGTTTTATGTCGATAAAGCCGTTTTAGTGTGTTTACTGATCTTTCGATGACGCGTGACATAAAACAACTCATTAAATTGAGCGCAGGAGTTAAGGTGAGAATACATAAGACGCATTTTTGACTTTTGAGTCATCGGTTGGCTCCTTCGTAAAGGGACAAAGGAGTTTTAGGTTGACTTAGTTCGTTTTTGGACCTTTGCTTCTTTGTTTTTTTTCAAAGAAGCCAGCCGATGACTTGAGCGAATTCAAAAAGCGTTTTATGTATTCTCACCTTTATTTAAGGCAACATGGTCACATTTCAAATTAGTTTTTATATTTTGCAAATGTGTCAAAAAATATTTCCAAGATCTGCAAATAATATTTAATACTCACCATTGGGATTGATGCGTGTCTCAAAAACTGTGGATGATTTGACATGTCCCAAATATCTGTTGTTATCATAGAGATCCTTGAAAAAATAAAAAAATATATTTAAAAATTAATTATACCAATCACTCAAATATTATATTTACCGTAACCGAATAACCACGAGAATTTGTCAAATTCAAATCGGCAAGCTTAAATTTAATGGTATAGGGTGCACCATCTGCACGACGGCTAACAAAGGCCACAGCATATGAATATTCACCATTCGAAAGTACAGGTGTAATGGGTCTGGACCATACCTAGAAGCAAATTGTGTTTTTTATATTGGTAAATCTTCTGTGACTAATGCCCCATTTACATACCTCAATTTTATTTTTAATTAAAATACGTTTTCCCTGGATACCCAAAGGATCTTGATCGACAGCAATTATATGCCTGACAAATAAAGAAATCTAGTTACAATTTTTTCAATGTGAACACTAGCCTTAACTTACCTATTTTGTAAAATCTCCTTGATTTCTGGTCGTACTGCTGACAAATCATTCGACATAATTAATGGAGCGGCCAAAATGGACCAAACAGCCATTTGTAGTTTACTTTGATCATATGATAAACCATAGTTACCAAGGATCAGCTGTTCAAAAGAAAAATAAATAAATGAAGAATAAATAAATATAGGTCTTGTGCCTATCCATGGTAGAACTAAAGGTAAGAGTACATAAAAGCCTTTTCTAAAGGTGGGAATACATAAAGCGCGTATTTGGCTGGCTTAGGTTGACTTAGTTCGATTTTGGCCCTAGGTTCATTTGTTCATTTCCAAAAAAGCCAGCCGATGACTTAAGCCAAGCAAATAAGCGCATTATGTATTTCCACCTTAATTGGCTTAAGTCAACGGCTGGCATCTTCGTAGAGGAACAATTGAGTTTTAGGTTGACTTAGTTCGATTTTGGTCCTTCGCTCCTTTGTTCTACTCCGAATTCTCACCTTAACAAGGTAAAGTTATGCAATCATATGTTTACATTTCTTACAAAATTATTCATTTGACAACATTTAAAAAAGGTAAATTGCAGAAAATGCAGAGATGGATATGATTATTTGAAATGATTTTAACTTCTTAATTCTATCATGTGTTTGTCGAACATATTCATAGAAATTTCAGCAGAATTGATAAAATACGAACCGAATAGCGCATCAAACACAAGAAAAAATCATCGTTTTGTCCATTCTCAAGAAGAAACAGAATGAAGGCTTAAAGAAATTAACGCGTTTTTGTATGACATGTGATACTAAATTAATCCAAAGACCCTTAAGACCATAGCAGAATAAACGCGTTATGCTTTATTGATATAATAACTAGGGTTATTGGCTCATAGGACGCGAAAGACCACAGCAGAATGAACGCGTTACGCATTATTGAAATAAAAAACAAAGTATGACGGTTTTATCAGCTCGTAGGACGGGTGGCGCATTCATTCTACTATGACATTTAAGATGACCATGTATAAGCAACTTTGCATAGCGCTCATCTTCTTAATGTCAAATTATGGGGATTGCAAAGCTATGAAGCCAAGCTGTTTACATATTTCCACCAACTTACCATATCAGGATCATTCCAATGGCCAGGGCCGGCATGTGGCTGAATTCTATCTTGATTTTTGGAGAAATAATCCATAATTTGGGCAACGGATTCAAAGGAGTCATCAATGTCATTCCAGTTACGCCATAAATTACAATGTTGTTTCAAAGCTTCATAATTAGGCTAAAAAAGAATAAAAAAACATGCATAATACTTAAAGTGAGAACACATAAATCTCTTTTCTGACAGGTTTAAGTCATTGGCTGGCTTCTTTGTCAAAGAACAAACAAAGGGCCAAAATCGATCTAAGTCAACCTAAAACTCCTTTTTTCTTCTACAAAGAAGCCAGGCGATGACTTAAGCCAGACAAAAAAGCGTTTTATATATTCTAGCTTTTAGATTTAATAAATTAGCCAACAACAACAAATCTGAATGCTTAATGTCATGTTTACGTTAGAACTTTTTTAAGGGTTAACCTACTTTGAGAGGATTTATTTGAAGTAAAAGTAATGGAAATGACAATTTAAATCCAAATCCAGTGGGTTAACCCCCATATATATAAATGTACTGTAAAATCCCCCAAAGTTGTCAAAATGCTTGCTGACGTTTTCTCACGATTAGCTCATATTACAATGCATTTTGACAGCTCGATGTGGATGAATTTCGAACAATAGTTTCCCTATCTCCATACCAATTTTCCCTCGTATTCCTGATATACTGGCCAACTGCACGAATATACCATGGGACGTCCCGTACGATTCAATAACCTTCCAAATTCCGGATAACCTTCATCCATTTGATTGATATCAGCATAGCAACCATCTAATTTAACATAATCCACATCCCAATCGGCAAATGTTTGAGCATCCAAAGCCATATTGTTTATCACACCGGGATAACCGGCACAGGTGTTGGTCCCATAATCTTGATATAAACCGAATTTGACACCCCTTTTGTGGATCTGTAATTTGAGAGAAAAATATTATTTTATGTGTATAAACTAGATATTTTTTACAACTCACATAATCCGCCAAGGCATTGAGACCACTTGGAAACCGTTTGCGATCTTCAACTAATCGTTTAGTGACATTATCACGTTCCTTCTCCAGCCAACAATCATCGATAATGACATATTCATAACCAGCATCCAAATATCCTTCATCGACCAATAAATCAGTGGTACGTTTAAATAACTTTTCACTGTAAATAAAAAAGGGAGACATTTGTTAGGTCAGCTGTGCAATTTGATTTCGCCTCAAAAGTCACAATGTGTAAACCTTGTTATAATTTAAAAAAGAGCAATAGAGAGCTCATTGTAGAAGAAGACAGGCAGTCGCATCGACACAGCTGTGAACTGTCAAACTATTTTTGAATGAAAAATTATTCAAATTCGTTAAAATTGCAAAATGCATATCATAACAACTTCTGATTGGGGTCGTTTAAGAAAATATAAAAATACAAATTTTTTGAAAAAACATTTTAAAAATTTTGACATATCAATATTCCAAAGCGTTGATCTACCTGAATTCTTCTACCATGCGAATGCTTCAATATAACACAGCGTTTACACAAAACAAACTACTTTAAATCAGAGTTCTATATATTTAAATAATACAGGGTGAGATTAAAAAACTGCAACCAACATAAGACTGCTGTCATTTCTAAGCCACTCGTCACTGTTAAAATTATTCCAGTGACAGCTCATTATATCGTTTACAAGCGTACAAAAGCATTTTGGTGAGAATTTTCAGAAAAAAATTTTACTCGTGATGGAATTCAAGCGTGATAGTGTGATTTTTTTATATTTATCTGGAAAACCACAAGTGGCTATCGTTAGAGCACTCCAGCATTTAGTGGAAGGAATAAAACAGCAACATCAGCAGAAATGGTTCGATAAATAAAGAAGCTACTTGATCGAAACCCGCGTCGCAGTGCTCAAAAAATGGCTCGTGAGCTGAAATGTTCATATTCCATTCGGCAAATATTGAAAAATGAGCTCGGGTAAAGCCATTGAATTTCCAAAAAATGCAGGAACTTACACCGCAACAGAAAGAAAATAGACTCAAAAGAGTTGCTTCGCTTGGCCGAAAGTAGTGAACTGCCGAATTTGGTTTTCTCCGATGATAAAACATTCGTTGTCCAGCAGTTTGTAAACAAACAAAATGATCGTGTTTATTTGCCAAAGAGGTCAGCTGACTCAAGCGCCGGCCATGGTGATGGTGTGGGCCGCCCTAACAGACAATGGTCGCACTTCGCTCATATTAATCGACCGTGTCATCAGTATAAATGCGGAATATTATAGTGAAAATATTTTGGAGGGTGTATTAAAGCCTTGGGCACGCTAACATTTTGGCCGCAGACCTTGGACATTCCAACAGGCCTCAGCACCATCGCACTCAGCACGCGCCACCCAAGAATGGTTACAAAATGATATTCCTCGCTTCATTTCCAGCGCACAATGGCCACCAAAATCTCCGGATACCAATTCGTTGGACTATTGTATCTGCAGTATTTTGGAAAGCAAGGTTGGCACTAAAGAATACTAAAGTGTCGTTCCCTTCAAGCAAGCGCTTTGCCGGGAATGAGCCAAAATACCGCAGAGCAACATTCGGGCAGCGTGTGACAGTTTGATTGGCCGTTTGAAGGCCATAATTCGTGTCAAAGGTGACCATTTCGAACAAATCTACATTTATTCTAAAATTTGATGCTATTTCCGACATTTTTGCTTTCATTCATAAAATTAAAAAAATGTAAAAATTATGGCGTTTGACTTTGTTGCAGTTTTTTAGCTCACCCTGTATAATGGAAAACGATGGCAGGATTTAAATGCGGCTCTCTAATCCCTTTATGATATGTCACAAAATATGCCTAGCCATGACTTCAAGTTTCTTATGTGCTTACACCTTTATCCAGGTACAATCATTTCAAATAAGCCTACCCATCTCTGCATTTTCTGTAATTTACCTTGCCAAAATTTCACTGCAAAAACAGGTTCCCATATTTGATTTGTGTATACAATGGATTTGTAAATGTAAATTTTGACAATAAGATGTTGTCAAATGAATAATTTTGAAAAAATTGTAATCATATGATTGCTTGACTTTACCTTCTTAATTCTACCTCGATGCCATGCTACGATACCAAGCTGCTTCTGTGCAGACACTTAGAAGATTTTTTAGTTGGCTTTAATAATCGGCTTACTTTTTGGTAAAATAATGAGTTTTAGGGTGACTTAGTTCAATTTTGGTCCATCATTTTTCCTTTTTCACCATACGCGAAGAAGTCAGTCACAAATGAAGTCTTCTATGTATTTGCACCTTTAGCTCAGCTGTTTAATGAAATCTCGTCTCAATAGTAAAGGATTGTTTACATATGATACATTCAATGGATATCAACTGTCAATTCTATTGTGTGTACTTCCAATCATTTGGCATTTGCTCAATGTAATTGACAGTTGAAATCCGCATCTTACCCATAATAGAACTAAAAAGTGAGGAATCATATGTTAATTTTTTTTTTTTTTTTTCAAATATCTTTGACAACATCCCATTGTCAAAATGTATACCCATAAATTCATTATATGTTCACAAAAGGAAGAGATGGGAATCTGTTTCTAAAAATCTACTTATTTTTGAAAAAAAAAATTTAACTTTTTGACACATCAGTGTTTCCAAGCGTTGATGCATCTACCTGAATTCTTCTACCATTAGATCCATTTTTTTACTTTGTAAACAATTATTTGAAAATAGATTTGAGTTACAGGATCTTCAAGGTTTACAATATAAATTATACACTCATTTCACTTAAAGGTGAGAATACATAAGACGCTTTTTTGATTGGCTTAAGTCATCGGCTGGCTTTTTCAGAAAAGAACAAAGGAGCCTAAGGCCAAAATCGAACTAAGTTAATCTAAAACTCTTTTATTCCTCTACGAAGAAGCCAACCGATGACTTAAGCCAATCAAAAAAGCGTTTTATGTGTTCTCACCCAAACGTTTTATTTTTTTCTATATTTACCTTATACACTCATCAGGATATTTATTACAGTCAGTAATACAACGATAACGCTCCCAATGCATCCAGCCCATTGGAGGTGTACGCGCCAAGCCATTCTCCAAGGCCAATAACGTTTGAATGGTTATGCCTAACACAAGACATTTTAATAATGTTTGAAACATTTCGGTTTTCTTTCGTGTAAACGATAATACGATAAACACACAGGATTTATTTCTAAAAGAAAATAACCGAAAAAGTAAACTTTATTCTTAGGGGTTGTAGATCCTACTCAGTAAGACACTGAGCACTTAATGTTTAATAGTTGATGAAAACACCCGTATTTTATAATACTTGACTTTTTTCAAACATGCATCAAACAAACAGTGTGCACACAGTGGAGTGCGGACTCCCAATTGCGTTTATAGGCACTCTCAGACTGATAAACAGCAGAAACATAAGAACGATAAGAACCCCCCTACGATGTTCACGGAATAGATATTTTTTGCCCCTACAAAGAAGCATGTAACATAATGCCAAGAGATACTGCGACAGCAGGAGGGTGAGAGGTTAGGTTCCACTTGTTTATTGTTGGTTATCAGTCAAGTCAAGAAATACCCACATAAATATGCTGTTCTTTGGAGTGAATTGCTTGTATATTGTTTGTTTACTTTTAAAGTGATTTGCAAATATTTTATATTTTGTCACTTTAACACATTCCCGCACAGACACACACACACGCGCGCACTCGTTCATAAGAGTATAATGTATAATTCATAAGGAGTCTGCTTGAGGCACTCTCTTGGACGCCAGCTGATAAGACAACAATCTCAAGAATATTCTCATTCACATGAGAGCTCTTCATTCACTGAACAATCACACATTTGAGAAAGTACTTTCTCTCACTCTCCCATCCACGCTTACCTACTGTCACCTTATTACACGTATTTTGATTGTATGGATAATGAATACATATATTAATTTAAATATACCGTTTAAATTGATGACGCTTGTTTTTTGGATTTTTTTTTTGTAAATTGCAATTCTTTTATCTTTGGATAATTAACGACACCATCAGCGACGGCTATTTTTTTCTTTTTGTCAATTCAATTCCGAATACCGCACATTGCTAGCGAACGTATAGTTCAAGACTAACTGAGACATATCAATTGAAGCCTACAATTATCGAGCGAAGCTTGGCTTGCACTTGATCAACAAGAACTACAAGAAAGATGATTGATAAGAAATACATGAGTACATTCTTTTGCCATTTCTTTATTTATTTGCACATCGACACACATACGGAGCAATAACAATAAAAAAACAGATCTCAATTGAAAATACAACTTCTACAAACAATATTCAATGACCCCAAGATTGCAAATCCTACAAACAAAACAAAAAAAATATATAAAATAAAAAGTATAGGAAACATTTAATCATTTTGAGTTCGGAAAGATTTAGAAATTGTAAAAAGCTCTGATGGAATCGAGTAATGAATTTCTCGGTGACCTTAAATACCAAGACCAACCGATAATTTTTGCCGGAAAACTCATAATCAGAGTATGAGGAAATGTTTTTTTTTTTTAGTTTAAGGGAGGATGGAAATTAAGGTGAATGTATTCTCACCGCTCAACGCTCTTTTGACTGGCATTTTCGAAAAAAAAAAAAAAAAAACACAGGAGCATAGGGCCAAAATCGAACTAAGTCAAGCTAAAACTCTTTTGTTCCTTTCGAAGAAACCAGCTGATGACTTAAGCCAACCGAAAAAGCGTTTAACAATGCGTTTACAGAGACAGGATAATAGTGTTCACGCATTTATTGTCAAAGCAGAGTGAAAGCATCGGAAGACAGCCTTGTCGACTTTGAACTTTTTCTTGTGGTTGTCAACTCGAGATACGAAAAACACGCAACGCGTTCATTCTACTTTGTCCTTGAGTGACACGTTACTTCATCTGGTTTAAGAGAGTATCGGTATTTGGTAACCTTCTTAATTCTAGCTTGGTTTTTATTTTTCAAAACAAAAAACACAAAATTGACAGAAGTCGGACACACTCAAAAAATTGTAATCAGCTTTTAATTTTACTATAGTTTTTTTTATTATACCCATGGTACAATGGAGAAGGTAAACTCATAAAATCATATGTCTAAAATTTTTACAAAATTATTCACTTGACAATATCTAATTGTCAAAATTTTTATTTATAAATCCCTTGTTTTTTATTCAGTGAAATATCACAAGGTAAATTAGAAAAAATGCACAGATTATACCATGGTAGAATTAGAATGTAAAGTCATGCCATCATGTGTTTACATTGCCAAAATTCATATTTATAAATCTATTGTATTCACAGAAATCGGGGATGGGAACTTATTTTTAATTCAAAGAAATTTGACAAGATAAATTACAGAAAATGCAGAGACGGGTGTGCTTATTTGAAATGACTACCTTCTTAGTTTTACCATGATTATACCCCATGTAAACATATAAAAAAATTATCTGAAAACAAAACATTTGCACTGTTCCTACGTACAAGAATCTAATTTGAAGTCTATACAAAAAATACAAATTATCTTCAATTGGAATTGTATTATGCAACCCAAGGTAGAAGAGTACAGGTAGTCGCAACGACTGTCAAACAGAATTGTAAATGTTGAATAAAAAATTATTGAATTTTGTAAAAATTGTTGAAGAATGCACATCACAACAACATCCGATTTACGATGTATAAGATCTACTTATTTAAAAAAAAATTAAAAACATTGACATATGAATGTTCCCAAGCGTTCATGCATCTACCTGTATTCTTTTATCATGATACAACCACACAACATGGTAGAATTGGCGATATATAAGAAAACTTATAAAAACCCACTTATTTAAAAAAAAAAAGATTTTTAGAATTTTGACATATCAATGTTTCCAAGCGTTGATGGATCTACCTGTATTATTCTACCATGATATAAATCAATAAATTTGTCTGAGTCCCGACAACTAATTTTCTTTTGTTTATACTGTTCTTTTGTTTTTCGGAAACATTTAAAATTTTCTTTTATTCATGATGTCAAAAGCTGTTTGCTCTTACTGTCTTAGAAAACTATTAGACTGTGACGAACAAATCAATCAAAAGATTGTTTTTTTTTTGGCAGTAAAATACAACTCTGCTGCAAGAGAATTTGTCTTGTGTAAACGGTAATGGAATACACATTTGGATGTTTTTTGTTTTTTTTTTGTAACTGATATCATCGATTTCTATTCAAAAAATCAATCATTCGCCACAAAGTTACCCTTTGTTGCATTGGAATTTTGCGACATTGCCCATATTGCAGGAAAGTTTTGTGCTCTCGTTTTCATTTATAAATAAAACTATTATAAGTGCTGATATTGATAAATTATTATTTGATGATGGAAGAACATAAGCGGGCTGACAGTGTTTTCATGTCGCCGCCGCTATTTATTGAGAACTACACATGTGGGCCCATAGCAGCAATTGCATAATGATGATTTGTGTTGTTCCTCCATCTTTTTATTACGATCGGCAATTATGAAAAACATAAATGCAATCTTAAAAAAATACCTGCATAAAAAAGTCATTGCAATTTAGGTTATGTTATTTCCGATGTCTAGTCAATTTGGGTCAAAATGACATACATATTAAATCAATATGCACAATAGCGTCATATCTTTATGTGCAATTGCAATTGCTGTAACTTTTAGAGTCTTGCAGCCAATTTTAAGTGAAGACAAACACTTGTGGTATGCCCTTTTACTAGTTTTAACCATGGCTCAACCATTAAGGAAGTTTAACTTCAAAGGGCACGGGATAAATGCAACTCTGCACTGGAATCTTGTGTCAAAAATGCTCCGAAAGCATGCAACAATTAGTTTTGTCTATATCAATTTTTTTTAATTATAAAATTAATGAAAAACAAAGGTCTTAATTAACTGCACAAATTTGGCCAGGTTCTGATTGTCCGATATATTCATTCTGAAGAATTACTATATAATTTTGACATGTTTTACTAATTTTGCCTTAACTTTAAGAAAAAGTAGTTCCTGAGAGTAATTTTCCATATCGCTCTGTTACTAGTTTTACCATTTAAAAAGTAGTGGAAGAAGGCTAATGTAAAAAATATTGCGTGTAAGCGTGCTATAAACCATCGGTAGCTGCATGGACACAGCCGCTGGGACAATAAACTGTCAAATTAATTTTTAAATTAAAAATTTTGAAAGTAAAATTATTCAAATTTGTAAAATTTGTTCGAAAATGCATATCACATTTGACATAGAGCGGATTTCGTAAATCTAAACGTACGTTTGCTGGGAAATTATATTCAGTAGAATAAAGTAACATTTGCGGATTGAAAAGCAGCTATTTTGTGACCCATGCAAAAATATTTACTAATTGCACGCAAAGTGTAACCTTGTGTACCATACATGGTAGACGAAAACAGGTATATGTATCAACGCTTAGGAACATTGATATGACAAAATTTAAAGAAAATTTTCAAAAATGAGTAGATGTTTAAATGATGTCTTACGGGACACCAATTTCAATAATTTTTCATTGAAATTTTTCAATTTCAAAATTGGTTTGACAGTTCATTGTCCCAGCGTCTGTGTCGATGCGACCTGTATTCTTCTACCATGGATCATAGTAAAATAAAGAAGGTAATATTATTTCAAATAGGAATATCCATTTCTGAATTTACTGTAATTTATCAAGTCAAATAGATTTCCATATCCAATGTTTGTATATACTATGAATTACTAAATATACCTTTTGACACTGAGATGTCAAATGAATTTTTTAAAAAATTGTAAACATATAGAGCCTGTTCCATAACTTCAAAAATGTAAAAGTTTTTACTACGACAACCGATTTTCCCTTTATGTTATCGAAAAAATTGGCAAAAGTAGTAGATTCTGATAGGTACTGGAACAGACCAATAATTGCACGACTTTGCCGTCTTTAGTCCACCATTAAAGGACTAATTTTACTTTAATTTTGCAGTAATATTTGCAAGCGATCAGCTGATTTGTAAAAACAAAACAATTTGTGTGCAAAAATTAAAATTGAACCGAAAAACAGAACTATTTGGCTTGAGATTTTTGAAATATATTTTAAAATTCCTTGCCCGTGTAAAGATTGTGTATCTAAACACGCTATTATTAAGCTAGTCAAATTTAACTTAATTAAAAATAGTTTCTCATCTTTGACTTGTGTAAATACCACGTATTTATGATCATAAATATTGATACGGAGAGGTTTTTAAAAGTATAAATTTGAAAAAAAAAACACAAGGCTACCTTCTTAAATCTACGATATAATTACATTTATTGGACTCTAATTTTGTATTATATTAAAAAAAATGCCTTTGTAATTTTAGCCAAAAAATTTAGAAAAATACACATTCATAATTTTCATTTATCAATTTTTCCTATTTGCTTTACTTCGCAATTAGTACCATTTGTTTGCCAACATTTGCCGAATAGTACCCACTACGCATCGCAACAACGCTGTGTCACTTATCACGTGAATTTCTTCTCCTCCTCTTTCGCTTGTCATTTATACAGAAAAAAATTGTATGTTGAGTTTTTTTGGGTCTTGGGTCGTCGTCGATTGATTTTTGTGGCGAAAAAATTAATTCAACGCAATTTTGCTGTTTTCCACCGCACAAACTCGGCTAGAAAATTCGGTGCATCTACCAAATAAACGTGAAATAAAATCAATTCGCTGTAATTGCCGTTGAAAGCTACAAAAAATGTAAGTGAAGTGTTGGAAAATAAAAGAAAAATACTCAAAAAACAGAACTCTATGAAAATGTTGAAAAAAAAAACTCTGCCTAGTGACGACGACAACGACATTGCAGAAGCAAAACCATGTAAATGCAGGGTCATTTCAAACCAAAAAGCCAATGAGGAGATATGCATACTTTTGGTGTTCCAAAATAAACGGATTAATACGACATCGAGTAACATATTTAATAGAATGGAATATCTAACACCTGTTACAAAGACATTGCAACGAAAACATTTGTGTTTGATATGAAATGAAGACCATTTTGGCTCTTCTCTTGCCAAATTTAACAATATTTAATGCATTGGACAGTGAATTGTGCAAATACAATTGCTAAACATTTTTGCTTGAGGACAGGCTGTAAAATGTTT